CAGGTTGCTCTTTTCCCAGTATTTTAGAGCAATACAATAAATTAAATATCTCACCTATCTAAGTTTCTCCTCTCTTGAATTACACAAAATTCTTTTTCAAGACACAGCAGTCCCTGATCATGAAACTGGACTATTAGTTTATGTTCATCCTCATTTAGCATTCAAATTCAGCTGTTCTTGAACTATTTATTGACGGCTTCTATCCCAACTGAAAGTTTGCTTTCTACTTATTTGTGTACACTGAATTTCTTCTTTAAAATAAATGATATCTGCAAACTTCAGCTTGAAATCAGAATAGAAACAGATGTTGTCACACACTGGGGGGAGTTCCCACAAACCACCTTKGAYATGCATGGCTTTGCAAGCTCATTTKYCTGCTCTTTCCTCATGTGGCTACTGAAATTCATTTATGTAGTTCAAATATTGTGCTCAGTRAACTTTTTGTAGTAAAATAAAGTGAGTTCACTTGGTATATCTATTTGGCCAGAGTTGTTTGCGTTTGTTTTCACTTTGTTTTTCAAAAAGAAATGCAATTTTTGAGTGAGGCATTATAGTGTTCTAGAGTAAGAATCTATTTTTTAAGGCAGGTAAGAGTGGGGATAGATATAAAGGACTGTGTCAATATTTCTGAATTTAATAGCACTAGGGTCTCTGAAGGAAAATTCTMAAATCCTGATTTTGCCAAGGGTGAGTGCTACGAAGACAAGAGAGCAATGGGGCAGAGAGAGGAGAGGGGGYAACATCAGCACCAGTGTTTGCTGAGGGCTGGGGCATTTCTTTGGTTCTGTTTTTTAAGTTTTGAGTCTTATCCTGTCAACTAAGACAAGAATTGAAAGGATGTGCAAAGGTTTTACAGCTGTCATAATTTGCAGAATGTGTGCCAAGTGCATTAGACATGGGCTTCCCATAGGGTATTGCTAAGTAGGAATATGTTTCTGATAAAATTTTAGCTTAGTGGGCTGGATTGATTTTTGCTTGATTTCTGTTKCATTATTTAGACAATTCTTCACTTTTTCTTTCAGTTCCCTCCCAGATCTGTCATTTCAAGATGAGGGGGTTGATCGTGTCATGTTACTCTGGGCCGTAGCTATGAAAGTTTATGACCTTTGTCATGAGCATCAAAGGAAACAGCAATAAAAAGTAGCTCAAAAAGTATTAGAAAGGCACAAAAAAACCCTCCTTGGATGATTTTGGTGCCTGCAAAGTGCCAAATCTTCTATATGAATTTTGGCTTAGTGGTTGCTCAGCATGAAGGTTGCTCTTGCCATGAAGAGGGGATGAGAAAGGAAGTATAGGATTCCCCACCCTACAAACAAATGCCAGWGTTTGGGATTTGCCTTGCATKACTTTGCTTTTTTCAGSAGCCAAACAAGGCTTTCTCAAAAAGCAGCAGCAAAGGCACCAGTGTCATCCATCTGGAGRGGAAAGGCTACAGCACTGTCTTCTATTATAGCAATTTTCTCYGTCAGTTTTGAAGCTGCAAAAGGATTTTTATGATTAAAAAATACTGTACTGCTGTTTCAGAGTTTGGGAGTTGAGGATTGGGTTACATTCTGACATAAAGAATGAAAAATAACACAGTAATGACACACAGGGGGAAGTTCTGGCAAGATGGGGTCTTCTGTAGGATGTTGTCTTGTGGTTTGTTCACATAAYAATGCTGTTTGACTCACAGATTCTGTTTAAATGGCACATAATTTTTTGATACACAGCAAGTTTGTCACCTAGCTGCAAAATAAATGAAAAGCTTTGGGTGAAGTAACTTATTGTATGTTTTATTTTTTTAAGGCTGTGAAAAAGAAACTTGTGGTAAACTTCTTTTAGAAAGCGATCTTCTGTTCTTCTAAATGTTCTTAAATTCTCACATGGTTCACTTTTCTCCCAGAACTATGCACAATATTTCTTCTAACAACAGCAGCATCTMTCACAGATATCACACCCTTTACATGCACACATTCACATTTGTTTTTTGYTATTAACTGAATTTGTTATTTCAGTTATTGTGGTTGCTGGGATGAGTTGTCTTTTAGATACTATTTTACCATCACTGTGATGGCATGAGATAAAAGATTTATTGTACCCTCTGCAGGCATCTAAAAGTATCTACAAAGTAGCTCAAAAAGTATTAGAAAGACACAAAAAAACCCCTCCTTGGACGATTTTGGTGACTGCAAGGTGCCAAACCTTGTATATGAATTATAGATATGAACTATCTCCACAGTATCTAAAAGACAACTTTTATCTCTGCTAATGGAATAATGATACACAGAAAATGCTTTGGGCACATTCAGAAGGCTGTATTGATATTGTACAGCTAATAGTTCAGCTTTGAAATACCTGTTGGTCTGGGGAAATAAAAGGTTAAAAAAACAATTACGAGATTCAGATTTAAGGTGCRTTTTATAGAGAATAACTTGGAATTTCTTGCTTTGCTTGGTGCTGTTCACAGATGACAATTTTCAAATGGAAATGTGCTTTCTGTGCTTTGGTGCTCATGTCTGATAAGCTGAAAATCTGAATAAGATCTACACTATTTCCTGTGTGTGGCACAGTTTATGGGATGGTGGAGGTTGATACTGCACTGGGATGGAGAAGAGGATGGTGAATGTAAGAGAGTTGAAAAGGAGGAGGAGAGGTTTTAACAAGGGGAAGAGTTCATTAAAGCCATCACCTCTCCCTG